GGCAGAGCTGCTGCCAAGGGGTTTTCTGCCTTGTGGCCTCCTCAGGCTCTGGGGGATAAAACACATTTCCTACAGTTCTTTGCTGCTTACGGGCATTCGGTAGACACCACTCGCTTTCATTCGCATTCGCTTTAAAAGGCACCTCACACAGTGCCAACCCAAACACGGGTATTTTAGGAAAAAGCAGGGTCTCAGAAGACACTGCACAGTCTACAAAGGCATTTTTAGACATCAAGAACTGTAGCAGCTTAAAAAACTTTCAAAACCCTATTGTCTTATAGCTGAGCCCTTTCTTTCATACTTCAGCAACAAAACACTCCCTCATCCCCCAAAGAGGATATTTTTCAACACCTGTATTTACCGTCATGGCTAATAGCCTTAGGGATTAGTTCCTTAAGGGAACTAACTCAGCCAGGAGGAAAGGGGGCATGAGTTGTTCCCAAACACCATTTAACGTTTAGATTTAAGAGGTGCACATTGCAATAATCATTTTGTTAACAAGTCAGGAGAAGAGCTGAGGTAAGCGGCAGCCGTATATCAATTTAAGCTGAAGAGATGCAGCTGCTACTGTGCACTAAACAAGTTTCCATGCCAGCTCAAGATGAGGTAACTCAGAAAAAAGAGTCGTCTTTTTTCTTTCTACAGGAAATGTTTAGAGGGTGATAGAAAAGATTTTATACATTTGCCTTCTGGAGGTAGGTCCTACAGTGATCACAGAGAAAGAGATGTGGTTTCTTTAAAGGCTATTAGGAGGAAGCCTTGTAAAAAAAAATCTATTTCTGTGTTCTTCGCCTTCTCTAAATTAACAAAATCTCCTTGGTGAAGCAAAAGTGATAACCAGCTAGTAATTGCATTGCTTATGGGAGGCTTCAAGTTTCCAGAGCAACAGCACGCCTGTAATGCAAGGCTTGTCTTTGTTGCACTGTTGGCCCAAAGCAGAGCTCAAATTTTCTGTCTCGGCCAGCTCGCACACAAGGTCTGAAGCCTCCATCCCTCCCGCGGGATGCCGGCAGCCCAGAGCTTGCTGAGCCCCCAGGGGATGCAGGCTGAGAGGTTACGGCTGCTGATGCTCAAGCAGGGAAAGCCAGCTGGGACACGGCAACTCTGTGTCGTTGGGCTGTAACGCAGTGTGACTGCTCCCTCCAGCTAGCACACTCACGTAGGTCAGCATGACTGTGGGTGCAGGCTTGCAATCATGGCACTGAAAAGCAGGTGAGACCTGCCCTTGCCAGCCCCGGCCCCTGCAAGCCATTCGGGAGGGACCCGGGTAGTGGATCTGCTCTAGGTCTGCATGGGTCTTTGCTCATATGTAAAAGCATGACTTGTACGGGGCGGAAAGAATAACCCATAACGTATTGGTACTGTTTTCATATTTAGCAAGTACAGTACTATAATAAATAATGTAAAACAATAAATAAATAATGTCAACTAGAAGATAGGATTAGCTTAAAACCAAGTACCTCCGGTGTGTAGGAGTACCTTGCCTGCGCTGAGAAGGCAGCTCAGCGCAGAGGAGTTTTGGGGACAGGGAGCGCAGAGGAGTTTTGGGGACAGGGGAGAGCTGCTACGGCAGCTCCAGAGCCGCACCCCCTTCTCTGCACTGCACAGATGGTCACGTTCAGAACAAGGTCTCTGCACCTTACTGATCCTTCGCTGTCAGACTGACACACGGCCAACTTCAAATAGCTTATTCTACTCTGTGCCAGGGGACTCTTCCAGCAAAAACCCAGCAGCCTCAGAAACAAGCAATTAAAAGGTCATTTCCAGGCGCTTTTGAGATATTCGGTGTAACTCTGAATGCCACAGTTCAGACACCAGAAGCTGCACAGTTGCATTAGCACAATGCTTTGCCCAGGCTTTCTAGCCGAAGCACTGTGGCTACCCTCTAGCTCATTGAGCTGGGGTGGTAGGACAGCCCCTGCAGACATGCCTAGGGCTGCAGGACCCTCACTTTCCCTGCTTCGAAATTAAGTGTTGTCGGGACTGCTCTCTTGGACCGAGCCCCTGGGCAGGGAAGGCTCATGTCCACACCACTGCTCCCTTAGTCCCCGGGACCGCCACTGGTCTGTGCTAGCATCCACCCGTCTCGGGAACCATTTGAGATGGCACTACCTGGCCCAGGTCAAAATAATGCCCAAGACCGCTGTGTTCAACGGTGCGGACAATCCTGTCCCAGGACCTAGGAACGTAGGGGGGCACTGCTTGATGAACAGGCACGGACGTAGCGTGAGCATCTGCCAAACTGTGATGCAGGCTGGTTGCTTCATGAGCATCCTTCGTGGCAGCCTAGGGAAGGGCACCGCTTTTGGCCCTGGGCAAGCAGCCGCGATCTGTGCTGATGCAAATTAAAAACACAACTCACTTCAGAAGGTTACCCGAGGTTTTGGGCAGTTTTTTCTAACTGCTGAGCAGAGCTCCCAGTGGAAACACAGCGTTCGACTTGGGAGGGAAACATTTCTAAGCTAACTTCTTGCTTAGAGTAATTCTAGTCTCTTACAATGTCTTTATTTCACTTGGCTTTGAAGAGATAGAGGAGGCAGATAATTAATTATAAAAGACAGTTTAAAAAAAAAAACAAAAACAGTCATTCCAGAGTCTTACAGCCCCAAGACAAAACCGATACACCAGTGACAGCATATGGGCCCTTGTGAGTGTGGAACCAAACACCTGCAGCTGATCTCTATTAGAAAAGCCTCTGTTCATGTCCCTCGCCCAAAATGATAGGGAAATCCATTTCGTTTTCTTTAAACCATATGACAACATTTGGCAAGTTTTTTTCCCTCCCATTTAAAATAAAATAAAGCAATAAAATATGATAACAGTCCATCAAGTGATGTTCCAGGTTCATTTATGTGATGTTCAGAACAGTTTGTGGCAATAAAAGGAATGGGTACTTGAACGAGGTATTATGGTTAGCAGCCTGCGGGAAGACATATTTAGTTTAAATACTAATAATAGCCTAATAGTAAGGCAAGATAATGGAATGTGACAGATGTTGGATGTTCTCTCTTTGCACTGTGCCAGATGTATATTTTAAATTACTGTTTGCATCACGAAAGGGCCAAGAGGCCTCAGTTTTGGATTCAGGGCCCTACGAGGCCGGACTCTGCAAACAAGTATTCAATCCCTTCCCTAAAAAATAGAAATGACAAGTTATTTTCATCCTGTATGTCAATATTTTTACATAGCCTAGTCTCCATAGAGCAGCCCTAAAGGTGGCACCACCAAAAGATTCACATGAAAGCCCATTTATTTCCCTATGCAGGTCATTCAGCATTAACCTTGGCTTCATTCAGCAGCAACCTTGGCCGTGGGGGCCACTGCTTGGCAAGGTGAGGACTCCAGGCTAGCTGCCTGGACTGAGAGCCAAAGCTCCTGGGGTATCACTTCATTTGGGCGGTCAGACAGTGCCACTGGCAATCAGAGGAACCCT